GCACCGCAGCCTGGACACACATGAACTCCTGCAGGGCCCAAATATCTTCCACCGAACACAATCCGCTGTGACAATGGTGTGACGGCCCCTGTGAGAGACAGGTGAGCGGGATTAACGCATGCCTGAGCACTCCGCTCTGATTTCATCCTCACATGGGGCGAGATTAAAATAGATGAAGGGTGACATTGGCTGCAGCGCATATGTCACCGCGGAACATTCCCTTTTTATGGAGTCAGTGTTATCATATTAGAGATGGGGCAATACTAGAGGTCACCTCTTATACATGGCAATAGGGGGTCACCACTCCTTATTGGAGGCAATAGGGACCATTCTCATATAGAATGATCAGAATCGCTCCTTTCATGGGGCAATAGGGGTCACTCCTTATATAGTACCATAGGGATCACCCATTATATGGGGCAGTGGGTCACTTCTTATATATCACAATAGGGGGCCTCTCCTTATGTAGGACCATAGGTATCACCACTGATATAGGGCAATAAGGGTCACTCCTTATATAGGACCATAGGAATCACCACTTTTATGGGGCAATGGCGGTCACTGCTTATATAGGACCATAGGGATCACCCATTATATGGGGCATTGATCACTTCTTATATATCACAATAGGGGGCCTCTCCTTATGTAGGACCATAGGTATCACCACTGATATAGGGAATAAAGGGTCACTCCTTATATAGGACCATAGGAATCACCCCTTTTATGGGGCAATAGCGGTCACTCCTTATATAGGACCATGGGAATCACCCCTTATATGGGGCAATAAGTGTCACTCCTTATATAGGACCATAGGGATCACTTCTTACATGGGGAAATAGGGGTCACTCCTTTATATAGGGATCACCCCTTATATGGGGCAATAAGTGTCACTCTTTATATAGGACCATAGGGCTCACCCCTTATATGGGGCATTATGTCACTTCTTATATATCACAATAGGGGGCCACTCCTTATGTAGGACCATAGGTATTACCACTTTTATATAGGGCAATAAGGGTAGCTCCTTATATAGGACCATAGGGATCGCGCCTTATTTGGGACAACAAGGGTCACATTTTATACAGCACAATAGGGGGTCACTCATTATAAGAGGCAATAGGGTCACTCTTTAAATAGGTAAAAAATGGGCCCCATATATGAGGCTATTGGGTAGGGGTCACTCCTTATTGGAGGCAATAGGGACCATTCTCATATAGACTCATCAAACTCCTTTTTATGGGGCAATTGGGGGTCACACCTTATATAGTACCATAGGTATCACCCCTTATATGGGTCACTTATATAGCGCAATAGGGGTCACTCTTCTGTAGAAAAATAGAAATCACCCCTTATATGGCGCAATAGGGGTCATACCTTACACATAGCAATAGAGGTCACCTCTTATATACGGCCGCCTCTTATATGAGGCGAAAGGGGTCACTCCTAACGTGACAATGGCAGTCACCCTTTTACAGAGAGCCATAGGGATCACCCTTTCTATGGGGCGATAGGAGTCAGCACTTATACGAGGCAATAGGGGTCACCTGTTCTATAGGACCAGAAGGGGGATTACCCCCTTTTATTTATATTGGACAATAGTGATCTCTTCTTAAATACGGCAATAGGTGCGACCTCTTATATGGGGCAAAAGGGTCACTCCCTAAATGGGTAAAAAAAGGGGCCACTACTTATATTGGACAATAGTGTACCTTCTTCAATAGGGCAATAGGGGTGACCTGACCTCTAAAATGGGGAAATAGGGGTTCACTCATTTGATGAGGCCTTTGAGTCACTCCTTATACGGGGCAACAGGGTCACTGCTTAAACAGGTAAAAAAGGGTCACCCCATATATGAGGCTATTGGGTTACTCCTTATAGAAGGGGGTCACTTCTTATATGGGGGAATCGGGATAACACTGTATATGGGACCATGGGGTCAACCCTTATATAACTTAATAAGGGTCATACCTTTTATAGGGGTCACCTCTAACATGGCACAGTATAGGTAACTCCTTTAATGGCACCATAGGAGTCATTTCTGATGTGTGGGTCACCATCTTGCATATGGCAAGAGGGGTCACTCCACTTCATATATAGGACAACATAGAGCAAGAGTGGTAACTTACTCAAAGAACAGGCTCACTGGTGACCCGGGATGATGACTGAACATAGATGGTGCCGTCCATTTAGGAGAGAAAAGCAGACGAGGTCATTGTCAGGGGAGTCATGTGATCTCTGTGAGAGGTAATAAACACCTTTAAATTATATTTCCTAACTGAGGCCTCCTTTTTGTTTTTCCAGATGTCCCTCGGGCAGCCTCCAGTCGGAAGAGGACCTCCCTGTATGAAATGCAAAGGAGCATGCGCAGGATTCCAGCCGCACCCCTGGAGGTAAATTGGTGTCACTGCCAGACATTGCTCCCTGATGAAGAGGGGTAATTGTTCTAGAACTGATCAGAGGTGGACGGCTCATCTAAGTATTATAATCTAAATGTCCCATCTTAATAAAGGCATTACATTTGACCTCCATCCTTCACTTCAGTCTTGTATCTGACCTCCGGCCTTCCCTTTACCCTTATATATCTGACCTCTGCCCTTCCCTTCAGTCTATCTGACCTCCATCCTACCCTTCAGTCTATCTGACCTCCATCCTTCCCTTCAGTCTTCTATCTGACCTCCATCCTTCCCTTCAGTCTTCTATCTGACCTCCGTCCTTCCCTTCACTCTTCTATCTGACCTCCGTCCTTCCCTTAAGTCTTCTATCTGACCTCCGTCCTTCCCTTCACTCTTCTATCTGACCTCCGGCCTTCCCTTCAGTCTTCTATCTGACCTTCGTCATCCCCTTCTGTCTTCTATCTGACCTCCGTCCTTCCCTTCATTCTTCTATCTGCCCTCCGTCCTTCACCTTCAGTCTTCTATCTGACCTCCGGCCTTCCCTTCAGTCTTCTATCTGACCTCCGGCCTTCCCTTCAGTCTTCTATCTGACCTTCGTCATCCCCTTCTGTCTTCTATCTGACCTCCGTCCTTCCCCTTCAGTCTTCTATCTGACCTCTGTCCTTCCCCTTCAGTCTTCTATCTGAATTCCGGCCTCCCCTTCAGTCTTGCTCAGTGGTCCCGGCTCCTCTCCTCTTCCTCTGATGTCACTGCACACTGGGAGCTTTTCACAATGTGCATTAGAAGATAACGCAAGTCAGCTAGAGCCCGCCTCATTTCCTGGCTGGAAGACATACAGCATCATGTATTTTTTTCCTCCACAGCCTGACTGTTCCTTGCCCCGCCCCTTTCATTTATTGCATTTCAGCTCTTTTCTTTTTGGAGGCTCAGCATCACCTGTTACCTTTGGTGGTCTCCATGCAAATACAACCTGCCTAGGAATGCCCACTCCTCCAGATTAACACCTACCCATCAAGGCATTCTGATATTTGCATAACTCCTCCCACGCAAAAATGCACATTGCCTGTGTAGGCAAGAATCCTAGCACCGGCACTGACAGCACCCTGCCGACTCCTTCCACCATGTGCCATGATCTGCCTGCATGGCACAGAGAAGCACTGAGCCCGAAATAAGACCCCGGCTCTTTCTAAATGTGATCACGAGACTCTTCATATAAGTTTTCCGAATCGCCCGAGGTCGGCAGGTCGTGCTGATCGCCATATTTCCATTGCAATAAAAACAAAAAAAGGCCTCGTGTTCTGCCGGTATTTGTCACCCACTTAACTTCTCTGCCTTTTGGCTAAGATCAGGCGTAGTCTCTGTTCTTATCAGTGATCAGGAGGGGAAAGGAGCCGCTGTACTGGCCCTATGGCTGGAATCTGAGTTCCCTGCCTGAGTGACGGGGGTTCCTAAAAGATCCTGGCTATGGGGAGGGAACCGAATGAGCGTCCACTCTAGGGCTGCCACCTTTTCTTCAAGTGAAACCCGAACACTCTAGCGACGCACGGCCATTTTTGGGGGAGAATGAGTGGTGGCTTATTCATATGTAAATAGCGCCGCCCATTCATATGTAAATATCGCAGTTGAGACTATTTTTAGTGGGGGGCCAGTAGCCCCTATCTTAACTTTGGTTTCCCCTGTCTGCCTGACATCATGTGTCCGGGTTTCTGCTGCCATGAAACCTGGACACAGCATTCCAAACTCGGACTGTCCGGGTGAATCCTGTACAGGTGGCAACCCTAGTCCACTCATGTATAGAGTGGGGGTCAAGAGTACTCCTCGGCACTGGGATCTGGCAGGACCCAAATCCTCCTGATTTGGATGGGACTACCTGGTCTGGCCATGGGCCGGGGAGGCACGAAGCCTGTGGTGCTAACGCCCCCTGGAGTGGTGACCCAGGGGTGCTCGAGTAGCACTTAGGGTGTGGGACCCCACTGATGCGAAAGGCACTTGGGCACGACACCTCTGCTTTTGTTGCACATCGCCTCTTGGGCTAGGCCTTGTGGCTGAGACCAGGGGTAGTTTTTATTACCGGGCCGCAAGGCCTAGCCATTGTATATACACTGGCACTCTACATTATTTTTCTTCACTTGTATGTGCGCCTTTCACTATTTTTTTAATGTGTTTTTAACTCCACATGACGGAGTCATGAAGTCTAGGGGGAAGATGTGTGGCCCTCAGGTTCCTTCCTCCCCTGAATCGGGGGGTCTCCCTTCGGGGGAGCACCCAACCTTGTAGTCAGTGGTCGGCTTCGGCTGACCACGAGGAATGGGCCCGCCTGGTTTTGGCCAGGTGGACACGCTCTGGGGGAAGGAAGGGGGTGGGGGGAGTCAGATATGGGCCCTGTCTCTTCGTGAGACGGACCCTTTAGATAGCACCCCTTCTGTGCACGTTTTTTTGTGTGTGTTCACATGCACCTTTTTGTTCACTTTTTTCTCCACGCTCCACGGACTTCAAAAAATAAATTTGTCACCCACTTAAAAACGCCGACGCGGCAGACTAATAGCTGAGCGAGACAGAGATAAACGCGGCAGAAGACGACTTTAACACAAAGAACAAGCACAAAATTAAACCGAAATAAACAAACGATATAACAAATGTATTGCGAGATGACAAATTAAAAGCGCGGCCGTCTTTTTGGGGGTTTTTTTTTTTCAAGCCGCTCGCCTCCTTGTGTGAATTATTAATGATGATTTGTTGTGGCAATAGCTGAAGAGGCCTCCATTCAGGCTGATGATAAATACTCCGAAAATGAATGAGTACAACCGATGAATATTCTGTATCAATCAAGCGGCTCGATAGTGAAGGCGATTTATGGAGCGTATCCGGCGCTAGAAGTCGTTTGAGGAACGAGTAAAACATATTGGCTCGCTCTTTCCCGTTCTGGTCTTTTAATCTGTATGTTTGAGCACTCATACAGCTGTTGGGGGGGGGGGGCGTCGGACACGGTCGGCTGAGCGCTGGCGCAAAGCAAACGAAG